GATTTCTTTAAAAAAACAACGATCTTCGCTGCCTGGCTGAGATGCTACATAAATTGGGTATCAGACCAAAGAAGAATTGCAGCATTTAATTATATTTTTCCTTGCCATGACTTTTAAATATTAAAACTAATTTTACCCCAGATTTTCTGCTCTAGTTTGCTGCTAATGACGGTGCCTGGTCTTTCGTCTCTTTTTACGTTTAAACAACCAAATGAATGCTTAAGTCTATTTAACGGATTGTATTTAAATTGCATTACAACACCGATGCTGTAAAAGGAACCTTATGAAATTGAAAATCGTCACATAAAGCTATTGCTGGAAGTTCATCTTTGTTGAACATGTTGCTATTTTGCACATTATTATTTTGTTTTTAAATAAAAACTGAATTTATTTTTGTTAAAGAATCACTTTCTTTTATTGAAGGGTGCTTTAAACCACTTTCTGCTTTCCTCAATGCAGATCCCTATATCTGTGATAATTGCACATAGTATACTATATTTCCAATAAAATATTTGCAATTGTTTTGTGTGTGTGTGTGTGTGTGTATATATATATATATATATATATATATTATTCAAGTTTTGGCCAATTTACATGATCATTTTGACCAGCACACATGAAGGCTTCTTTAATCGATTCATAGATTAACTGTGTTTTTATTTTCTTAAACAGGTTTAAATCAATCGTTTAGGGAAAACAACAAGTAAAATTGATTTGTGGTTGTTTTTGTGAGGTTAATTGGTCACAATCAGGTAACAATCTATCCAGAAAACAATAGTATGTCTAAATTTTACAAAAGCTTGTGCTATTTATTTAATATTTTTAGAAATTCAACGTTAAATAAAAAAAAAAATAGACAAAAGGGAAATTTACTGTGCAGCACTCTGTGAATAAAAAATAAATAAATGAATAAAGGCACTTTTTAGGCTACCTATTACAAGGTGATCTGAGATGGCCAATCAACTTAAAGTAGGCGGAGTTTACATATTTCAGCGGGAAGCCTGCGTCCATTTCACGTTAGAAAGGGGAGAGGTAAGACTCAAGTACGTAAACTGTCATGATTTTTACTGGAGTTTTGTAAAAATAATAATGATTATTACTTACTCAAGGAATATGAAGTTATCATATTGTCGTCATATTTTATCGTTCTAATCGAAAGTGTGCATTTATAAGGACTAAAACGAGCGTTTTCAAAGAAGAGTGAGTGTGTCAGCATATTTTACAATATTTCTTAGTGAATAGTTAAAAAATAATGCATATAAATAGATATAACATTACCTTCACGTTTCAATTTCTTTATATTTTGTGAAACAACTGATACTCCAGTGTTCAAGACATTACTACTTCAAAGGACTTGCCAAGTCTAAAATACGAGCTAACATCATGTTAAGGCCTTCTAACAAATGATACCGCTAACATCAGTGATGTGTATAAATACATCAGTTCACAATGGGCATTTTTAGGACACTGTGAATATCAAGTTGTTTTATTTTTTATATATTTTTTTACTACTGTGGTTTCTGTTAAATGAGGTATAAGTGCCCTGTAATGATAGGCCTGTCAAAAGAGGCCTACACCTCCCGCCTCCATTTTCAAGCGGATTGAAGAAAAAAAGAAGCAAAAATGTCTCCCAAAGTAATTTATAAATGGGTAAATTATTCCCCAAAATATTTGTCTTTATATATATACAGTACTATAAATCTCAAAGTCCCTAACCAACCAATTGAATCAAAGAAGACAGAGCTTTACTGTTTACTGTTTTTTTTGTACACTGATTCATGAGCCCATTTTATAAGTAAAAGTGTGTAACTAGTTCTTGCTGATTATTTCACAATGTTTGTTTTTCAGGATCAGGCTACGGTTCATTTGCAGTATATTAGGTATTAATATTATGGTCAGACAATGTAGTTAGCATTATCAAAGTGACATATTTGGCATTAATGAAACATAATGCCAAATATGTCATTATATTATTTAACATACTTTTGCTATAAAATTCAATCCACAATCAGAATCCTAAAACAATTTGTAATTGCTTTATCACCATGTTTTCTAAAGTGTATGCTAGTTTTTGCTATATTTCATTATTTACACATTAATTTAAAATGGCAGAATTGGAGTCATGCTTCAATTTTGAACCACACCAATCAATGACCAAAGTTGGAAAATCAGCCACCAGACTTGCAGATAAGCGCATGTTAAATTGAGAATCTATTACTGTTATGTTGTATGTCAGTAAAGCAATACACTTATTCTGGGTCTTCATGGCCATACCAATTGGCAAAAGTTGCTAAACATTAGCTTTTGAGCAGAATCAGAAATTTGAATGTTTAAATATAGTTTAACTTGACATTTAAAAACTGTTAATGCATTTTTTTGTTTGTTTTTTTTAGCTGATGACCACTAGTTGTGATGTTGGTGGATAACCAGGAGGTGTTTGCAGTCAGTCAGGTAAAGTAAGTAATTAATTTATTTTGAGTTCATTAATCAGTTTATTATAAAACATAAAAGTTATACAACAGAAAGTCTAATGTGAAATAAATTAAAGTCTAAAGCATACATTTTTTTTGGTTTTCCTTTATTTTACTCAAACATGCACTTTATAGGGATTGTTCACGGAAAGCTGAAAATTGCCATCATTTACTCAGCCTTTGCTTGATCCAAACCTGTTAAACTTTATTTGTTGTTGAACAAAAAAGGTGGTATTTTAGAAGAAAGCTGAAATCCTGTAACTAGTGATTTTCATTTCATGTTTGTTTTTCTACAATATAAGTTAATGGTTACAGATTTTCATTCATTCATTTTCCTTCAGCTTAGTCCCTTTATTCATCAGGGGTCACTACAGCGGAATGAAGCGCCACCTTATCAACCATATGTTTTAAGCAACAGATGCCCTTCCCGCTGCAACCCAGTACTTGGAAACGTCCATACACACTCTTTCACACACATACTTTATGAACAGTTTAGTTTATTCAATTCACCTTTAGTGGATGTATTTGAACTGTGGGGGAAACTAGAGCTTCTGGAGGAAACCTACGCCAACACGGGGAGAACATGCAAACTCCACACAGAAATGCCAAATGACCCAGCCGGGACTCAAACCAGCGACTTTCTTGCTGTGAGGCGACAGTGCTAACCACTGAGCCACCTTGTCGCCCTGAAGGTTTTCAGCTTTTTTCAAAATATCTTCTTTAGTGTTCAACAGAATGAAGAAAGTCAGAAAGGTTTGGCACCACCTGAGGGTTAGTATATAGTGAATACATTTAAATCTTTAAGTGAACTATCACTTCAAGTAATTTTGCTAAGCTCAGTAGGTTTGTAGGTTTTTGTATGGTTTTAAAAAATGCATAATTAGATGTTTGGTTCTTTTATCACAGCTTGCCAGCGATTTCAGTTGAAGGAAAAGTTGAACAAGAAGGTAAGTAATTTTTTATTAATTTTTTTTTCAGGATGATCAAAATCTTTAGTTTAGTTTGACATTTACTTTGTATTTTTTGTTTACAACATATGGAAGACATTTAGAACACAAGTTAAAAATAATCAGTTGGAAATCTGGAAATGTTAGCAAACAACAATGCTAGTTACTGCCGATATTTTTAGTACAATATTTTTTACCGATATAAAAAATTCTGTATGACAGGCTAAAAGAATCTTAAAGTAGAGAGATTCTTTAAAAAGAGAATGTACTGTATACACCAGGGGTCCCCAGTTATTATTTTTTTCCATGTGTCAAATTATTTAAAGCAAGCCGAGTAGAGGGCCTGCTAGGGCTGGGTGGTTGTTCGAAAAGTAATTGGAATCGACATTTAGAACATATACTCAATCTTATTCTTCCAGGTCAGTTTTTTTTTATTATTTCCCTACCGTATGTGGAGTCATGTGACCTCACTCTGTTATGGCTGATTTATAGTTCTGTGTCTGGCGCACACATAGGGTCTGGTGCAACTTTTACACGGTCGCATACCTGCACACACTTAAAAAAATGTAACTACACGTGGTATGTTTGCACTACATTAATGATGATTGGAAGCTTGAGACAGAATATTTTTTCATTACAATAAATTTATTATTTATATTAAAATATTTGTTTACAGAAGATACAAGAAATGCATTGTTTAAAGTATTGTTTACAGGATATACAAGAGCTATTTTATTTAGAAGATATACTGCTTATTTTCTACTTTTCATTTAAAAAACATTAATTTATTTGTTTTCACTTTTTTATAAGAAATAACTGACTATTTGTTTTAGGCAATTATGTTTTAATTTCCAGTTTCCTTTAATTATTTTAAAATCAAGTAATGCACCCTTCATTCAGAAATCACTCACTTGTAATATGTGAGCATACAAAACCTGTTAGTAAACAATGAGGGCAAAAAAATAAATAAATAAATAAAATAATCGCTAATTAAATCGTAAGCGAGTTAAAATGCTCAATTAATCAAGATTTAGGTTTATCTTATTTAGGTTAGCTTATATCTTACTCACTGGCAGAGATGTTGGCCTACTGAACAGGAAATTGTGCATGCTCTCTGTTACTATCTGTGAAGCAATATGCATTTCAAGAATGCTTTTCTAAATATTGTATTGAGCCCAACACCACTGCCATTGTTCCTGCGTTAAGTTATTTGTGTTTCATTTGAGTACATGTTGTTCATCACTTTTTTTTTTTATGTTTTGACCTGTCTTTGTGTATTTGGCCTATAAGGTAAGTGAATGATGTAATAAGAACCAGACCTGTCTTTGTGTACTTGCTTTATAAGGTAAGTGACTGATGTAATTTGAACCGGCGTACTCCAGATTTGTGCTTTGCATTTTACCCAACCACACACAGCAATGAGCGGTAAATGCACACCTGGAACTTATTTCACCTTCCTCTCTTTATTACATTGAATGCCCTTTTGAGTGCAGTATACCTAAAATTGTGCTAAATTATTTTGTGTGTGTGTGTAACTGAGTTTGTGATGCCAATGGGTGCCACAACAAACGAGCCACACTGATTCTGATGACATGTTTTTAATTTAACAATGTGATGTCACTGCCAATTCTAATAACATAGGAAATTTGCACAATTATTTTATCATGTCTGAACAGCCAATCCTATTCATTTGAATGTTTGTAATCATTAAACTTTAGACTGTCAGATATTTATACATAACAAAGGACATGACATTTCATTCAACAGCAAAATGTGAAATGATAATATTTATTTTCTCTGTTTCACATTTTGTTCCATCATAGTGTTCACCTTTCGACGGCGTCGGTACATTTCTTTTATGGCCTGCATGACCTCTTCTGTCTTTAGAGTGTATATAATGGGATTCAGCATAGGTGGTAGTATTTGCGTTAGAGAATTGTTAATTATCCGAGAGTTAAGATCAATAGATATTGCAATGGATTTTATATTTAAACTTAAAATCGGGAGATACAAAATTGCCACTAACATGAGATGCGAGGTGCACGTTTTCATAGCTTTGATTCGATCAGCGCCATGAGCGATCTTAAATAAAGCCGCAGCAATACAACAATATGAGATGGTTATTAGTAGCATCGGCATGCAAATCAGAAGACCAAACGAAATATATGCCATGAGATAATTTATAAAATTACTATTACAGGAAAGGCTGATAACAGGCCCGTGATCACAGAAATGGCTACTGACTACAGTCGATCTACAAAAAGACAGTCTGTTGACTAAACCTGCAAGTGTAGCAAAAAGAAAGATAGAAAAAAGCCACATGTTGCCTAAGATGAGTGATACAGATTTTTTTGTAATGATTGCATGGTACTTTAGAGGAAAACAAATAGCAACCAGTCTGTCATAGGCTAAGACGAGTAGCGACATAGATTGTAAATTCATTAAATGAAATACAAAAAACATATTGATCAAGCATGCTTCATACGAAATCTCCTGGTGACCAAATAAAAACATGTCTATAAGTTTTGGAATCACAGCTGTGCTTCCACACAGATCAGAAAAAGCCAGATGAAAAACAGCAATGTATTTGGCTGTGTGAAGTCTGCGAGACATATAAATTACACACATGATAAATGAATTTCCTAAAACAGTCACAAAGTAAACAAAACACAAGAACACATAGTAGTATTTTGCATGTGGGAGATTAGAAAAGCCACTGATGAAGAATGTTGCAGGACGAAAATAGGTCACACTTGCAGTGGTCAAGTTGGCAGTTGTGTTACCTGTGATAAAGAACTGTTTTTAGTTACCAGACTAAATAAAAATTGAAATTTTAGTGTCAGTATTATCTGGCACTATGATTCAGGGCAAAACCCTTGTCTTTACAAGCCAGCTTTCCTATACAGTTTTTTTGTTGTATAAATACAGTACACTGCATCTCAATGTAATTTGAATATGGAACTTTTTACGAATATGGAAATGTGCTATGTACATTTAGTATAACATATAAACATAGTCAGACTGGCACAAGTTTAGGGATCAGGCACTTCTTTTTTTTTTAAATATTTGTAGGAACACAAAGCAAGCACCTTTATTTTAAGTTATTCTGTAATATTTTAAAATATAGTCTATATTGTTTAATGACAATAACTTTTTCAATGAATTGACAAGTATTCCATACAAAAAAAACTGCTGTTGTAATAACTGCAACATAAATGGTATTTCCTTTTTTTCTTTTTTAGACAATCACACTCATTACACACTTAACTTATCTACCATGAATGGAAAAAGCACGCAAGTGAGAGAAAGAATAGTTATTGGTGTTAGACAGTTGGACACAAAATGCGGCCACTAATCTTAAATGAAAAGTACATGTCTTCATTGCTCTTTGATAATCTTGTAGGGGTTTTGATTCTGAACATCGTCAGAACTCTGCATGTGTATGAAAAGGCAATACAAAAACCTGGAAACACGATGATCACCTGAAACAGAACATCTGTGACATTTGGGTCACTGATTCTCCAAAAAGAAAGTCTGTTTGTGAAAAATGTTTGTATTAGTTCTAGTGTCCATGAAGAACCAACTGCAGCAAGCATTGATGTGTGAGTCACAGTCATGTTATTTCTCGAAGGAAAACACATAGGTACTAATCTGTCAAAAGACTTAATAGTTAGAGTTAAAGACTGCAGTGAAACATATAACATGTACATGCACAATCCATACAAGATCAAACAATTCCTCAACAAAAATGCACCAAGTTGCTGAGGGATAACAGTCATACTTCCAAAAATACCTGTTAATGATAAATTAAAAACAGCAGTATGTTTAGTAGTTTGGCGATTTCTGTCTACAATGATGTTAATTGTGTGGCAGTAGTTTCCTAGAAATAAAATGGAGTACGCAATAAGCAGGAATATACAGTAGCATCTCATGTGAGGTATACCAGAGTGTGCAGCAGGCTGAAAGGAAATGTTCTTGTTTCCAGACACGTCTTGACTCATTTTCAAATTATTTTTTCCATCCAGTCTTTGCAGAAAAGCAGAAACAAAGGGTTACATAATAATACAGTTAATGAAGGATCAATTTGGTTTACTCACAGAATAAACCTAAGGAAGATTGCCCAGTTTTAAACTTACCCAAACCCTTTATGTACTGAATACAGGTGTCAGTCTCTTTAACCAGTCTCTGTCTCCTTTATCCAACAATGCCACACCTCTGTTACCTGGCCAATCAGAGCAATATTTCAATAAGTATAATGATAGCCCTATGCATATTTTCTCGGTTTAATGTGTGACATTTACTCTAGAGATAGGAAGCGCAAAAAAAAAAAAACAGAAAAAAAAGGAAGTGTCTTTTTGCAAAACTATAATTTAATATCAAAACAACATAAATTGGCGAAGGGCAAAGAGTGTTCATCAAACATGGAATCAAAGCATTTCAAGGGTTAATTCCCTTAAATAAATATATCAAGCTATGATATTTCCTTCATCTCTATATAAAACAAAATTGCTTATTCAAAAGTTTGTGTTCGCATAGTCACTGCACAATGAATATGTGCACTATAAGGACACTGGGTAGAAGAAGCAGTTGAATAAAGTCATTATTTTTGTTTGTTTATTTGCACAAAATAATTCTTGTAACTTTTTGTTGATGATATTTTTCTTAAAAGTCAGGGACCTTTCTGTCTGTGGAGAATGCGGGAGCTCTCAATTTGTAAAATATATTAATTTGGGTTGCGAAGACAAAGTTCTCAGGGATTTTTAACAACACAAGGGTAATTAATAACATAGTTTTCATTTTTTGGATGAACAAACAATTCAACTTTCCAGTGCCTCGTTCAGGCTTCATTTAAGGCTGAGCATGCTGACAGGTAGATCTGTGTTCAGCAATGTGTGAATTAGTGTTAATTTAGTCATGTATTTTCAACTCAATTTGAATAGTCCCATGTTATATGTCCTTATTACCTTATATCATATTTAGTCAGCTTTTATCCCGTTCTTTAGTCAAGATTAAGTCAACTAAAAATCTTGTGCATTAAAGTCTAGTTGTAGTCAAAGTAAACTAAGTATTTTAGACTATTTTTTTTTTTTTTATCACTGAGATCTTGGCGTTTTAGCAGCAGTATGGTAGTTATTAACCTTGGAGTCAATTTACTCTGTCTAAAACAGCATTCTTTAGATTCACTTTTCCATTACAAATTATCTGTAAATTGTGTTTGTCAGCAGTGGTGGTCAGAATACAGTTAGATTGACCATTTAGTCTCACTATCTTTCTATTTGTTGTATTATTGCACCATGTCAGCCCAAGTGCAGTCTAAAGCTGCGGTCATACTGGGCTTTTCCTCTCATAGACTTCCATTCATACGCACGTGAATGCGTCAGACCGGACACGCAGGGTCATGCGTCAAGTTTCACAGGTTGTTGCGGTGCAAAGTTCTAGCTTGGTGAACTCTGACCTGCTAGACTGCGTGAGACCAATCAAGGATCAAAACATGACCTCTCTGGACAGAAATTTAAAATATGGAGCAATCGCTTGCTTTTTAAATGTATAATCATCTTGTTTAATCCCGCCCCTTTTCGCAGAGCCATATGACAGAATTTCGCATACTCAAACTCTGGTGTGACCGCACCTTATGCAAAAGTTTGGCCACCCCTCTGTGGAATAATTATGTGCTCTTTCTTTATAAAAGAAGATCACAGTGATATGCCGTTTGGATTCTATAGAACGCTAGATTGTCATGTTTTTCAGACAGAAATAGGTAGTGTTACAGTACTGAGATGTGTGAAAATAAATTGAAACTGAAAAATAGGCTGCACAAAAGTTTGTGTGGATTTCAAACCCTGTAGTCACTTAATGCTGATTGATTACAACACAACATTGATTTGAGTGACTTTTAAGTAAAATTAATCAATCCTAACACAGGTGCAACCAATCTTGAAAAAGGTTTTAGTATTCAGGGTTTGGTTAGACTTCTCGATGAGCTTGTTTGTTAGGGGATAATACACAGATGTCCACTCCTGTTCAGGAGGTGGCAGATGTCCACCATCAGCCACGAAAAGAACAGGATACCCTAGTCACTCAGGATCTCCGAGGGGATGCCCACCCGCAGAGTTTTCTTGGATGTTGCCTTTCATAGGGGCACCGTCCAGGCAGATAGCCAGTGGTGGAAAGAGTACTGAAATACCATACTCCAGTATACCATTATTTGCCTAAAAGTGTAGTGCAAGTAGAGTAAAAGTATCTGTTGTAAATATTACTCAAAGTATGAGTAAAGTCTTTACGCTGTAAAAAGCTGATGCATTTAAATGTAATTTGTGCATGTGTGTGTGTGTAAACTTAACATCCTGCATCTAACATGCATCTAGTTATTACCCAGCAGGCAAACAAAATCATAAGACGTTAATATTAGGTTAGATTTAGATTGTGATGTCAGGTGTTCAAAATTCAATATCTACCCCTTCCCCTTGGCCATTGAAACAGAGTGTGAAGGGGAAGGGCTTTAAAGTGTACCCCTAAGAAATGGGACACCACTACAACACCTATATACGTCACTATGTCATTGCAATCTCTTGCTTCATATGAGATCTCGATCAAGACAGCTGTAGTTATTCCAGTTGCATTATTTTTGGGAACTTATCTTCAAAAAAATCACTAAAGGTAACAATATCACGTTATCTTATCAATGTAATGTGGCAATAAGATTGTAACTGTACTGTGTATTCACACCCTGGCCATAAATATGTAAATGCAAGAAAACTACATTAACAGTATACCATTTTACACTGTAAAAAGCTCATTTCCAGACACTACACTTTTCTGACAGGGTATTTGAGTGTTATCGTGTGACAGAATGTTGTGGGACACCTATACAAGTGTTATTATTATGAATAATAGATTGTGAATATTAGCGTTTTTTATTTTAGCATTTTTTTAACCCTCTACTGTACGCATTATGATAAATCGTTACACTTGAAGTGTAAATTTTCATTTTTTTAAGGTACTTTATAAAATGTTGCCATGGCAACAACGTCCAAAAGTGGATCCAACTTAGAAATTTCTAATTTAAAACTTTCCTTATAATTAATAATTTTGTTGTTTAAAATTATTTAATTGGTGTTGCAGTATTATAAGCTTTAACACAGAACTTATGAATGACACCTTATACATACTTTTCAACAACTCGTATTCCAACAGCTTTCATTTATTCCTTTCTTTTTTGCTGAATATTTTTAAAAACCAGCATAATATTGTATTATTACGTATACAACATATAGTAATTATAAATATTTTCTCCAGTAAATATTAACAAAGAAATAACAAGTCTGATATATCCAGATGCGCTACCAGCTAAAAATGTTTATATATTATACTATATACTATACTACGCCTGTCTTATCTGCCTCTGAGCTAACTTACCTGAACTGTCTCTATCAAATGTCCAGTCTGCATCATTCTCATGGTCACTAAAACCCATCTCACCCTCACTTTCATCTGCATGAAGAGCCAGTTCTGTCCTTTTCTTCTTTCACTTACCCTAGAACATGGTGGTGCTCACTAATACACTGTTCCCTGTATCTATTCAAAAGTAGTATTGCCATTAAAACTAGATTTCATCCATAATGCAAATGTCATTAACATACAAGTAATCAACATTATATTACTAGCTTTCATGTTGTTATTGTTACATCTTAAAAGTTCACAGCTGACCTTGCTAGCTTGCTAACCCATTGCAATATCGCACGTTCCACTGTTGCACAGTATCATGTTGCCATATGGTGACAGCTTGCAGTAGAGGGTTGAAGCATGATGGTAAAACGAGGTTATGAATGTATTAAAACTTATGCTTGTCTGTTGTAATAATTCATAATGACAAAAAATACAAATTTGTGCATCTCCTTCAGTGTGCAGCCATGGTGCCATTGTAGATGGTGACATTTTTTTACCCCTTGGTTTTGAGTGTGGTCCTGAAAAATATCAGCTTCAAGTGGTATCTAGCTCTTCCCCTTAGCCTTATGCCTTCAAGCTAAAGATAATTGGGACACCCCTTCATGTGAACCTGTTTTTCTTTAAAAATCAACGATCTTCACTGCCTTTTACATATACGACATGAAGTGAGTCTCAGATCAGACAAGAATCACTGCATTCAATTCCATTTCCCCCGCCATGTCTTTAAAATATAACTGTTTATTTACCCCAGTATTTTCAATGGAATTTCTGCGCTAACCTGTTGCTACTGACAGCACTAGTGGTTACAACGGTCTTTCATCTTGTTTTACGCTTAAACAACTAAACGAATGCTAAATATAAATTAGTGTGAGGATGTTTTTAGGTATTTCCTAGACTTTAAACAAATCAAAAACTCAGATTTCATTTAAAATATCTTAATTTGTTTTACTTACTAACTTTACTTACTTATGTTCACTTTTTTACACCTAAAGATTTTAAGTGCAGTTTTAGCTGTTAAATGTCCTTGTTACGTCTTGTCATATTCAGCCAGCCTTATTTTATTTTATTTTATAAAATTCTCCTATGAGCGTGATTATAGTGCCTCCCGATGGTAAATGCGGTTAAACTCATGGGAGGTGTTATTGGGTAGTTTGGTCATTTATTTGACTAATTTGACAACCAGCAAACATCAATCGGGAAACGTTGAATTTCAGCTTAGTAAAAAAACATTTGTGTTTTTGGAACGATACAACATGCATGTGCTATGCTGTTGAGTGTGTAAGTGCTTAAGTACATAGTGCATTACTGTATAGTGTGCCATTTGGGATGGAGCTTATGTGTGTGTATGACTGTGAATAGATGTTTCCCAGTGATGGGTTGCAGCTGGAAAGTCATCCACTGTGTAAAACATATGCTGGACAAGTTAGTGGTTCATTCCGTTGTGGTGACCCCAGATTAATAAAGGGACTAAGCTGAAAAGAAAATGAATGAATGAATAATTTGTTTTATTGATATATCATAAATGATTATCATGACAGCTCTTTGATGAGATAAACATAGTTAATTTCATAAAGTTTTAAAATTGAACTGATGATTCCTATTAATAATTTGCACACAATATATTCATGAAATTATTACTGGCAACCATTTAAAAATACACATTATGACCATAAAATTGCTGTTATATGAAAATAAGCTATAGAGAATGACTTCTTTTCATCAGATAAACCATGCCTAAATGAAAAACACCATTAATACAGTAGGCCTATCTCATGCATGTGAATTAAAAAAAAATAGAAAAGGCTATATGAAGGCTATAAAAAATAGAAAAGGCTATATGATCAGCCTATATGGTCACTTGCAAAGTTCTTCTTTTCACTAAATTTACTTCTCAATTTTTGCTTATGATTACTATCTTATGAATAGTAAATTGTTTCTATCAAATGCACAATAATAATTTTGCACATGCAACATGTGACATTAGGTGTTAAGCCATCATTATAAAATGTAAAGGGTCCAATAAGCAAAAGCACTTTACTTGTAGTTAACAAATCTACACATCAACAACAGGTGTTCATAAAAATATTGATTGTACACAAACAAATTTAAATGTGTCGTGTGTGTGTGTGCGCATGCGTGTGTGTGTGTGTGTGTGTGTGTATATATATATATATATATATATATATATATATATATATATATATATATATATATATATATATATATATATATATACTGTATATCCCATAACATACAAACATTGTGTTTCAGTTTAATCACAGGTCAGTGAAAGAGCTTCTTCACAAAACTGTTTTTCACCCTGACAAGTGAAAATATTCTGGTTAATTTTTAAAAAGTTCAAAAAAGGCAATATAAATTATAACAGATTTACATATACAAAAAGACAGAGGTGATAAAAGCAGATAATGGAAGACAGCTAACATTTGAAATGCAATGCTCCAAATACCTTGAAATCATTTCATTTTCTTCCATGGCATTTCCTATTCCGTTCCATAGTAGCATAAACCCTGCTGCGTTTGTACAGTTCTTTAATGGACTGCATGACCTCATCTGTCTTCAGAGTGTATATGATGGGATTCAGCATGGGTGGTATTGTTTGGGTCAGAGAGTTATTAATTAACCGGGCATTTGGATTTATGTATGTGGTTGCATATGCAATATTATTGCTTAAAATTGGGAGATAAAAAATTGCCACCAACATTAGATGTGAGGTGCATGTTTTGATGGCTTTGTTTCTGTCAACACCACGAGCAATCTTAAGAAGAGCCAGAGAAATGCAGAAATATGAGACAAAAATGAGTATTGGAGGCATGCAAATCAGAATGCCAAAGCACAATTTTCCCATCAAAATAGGCAGAGAATTATCATTACAAGCTAGTCTAAAGACCGGGGCAAAATCACAGTAGTATGTATCAATTACATTAGATATACAAAAAGAGATTCTGCTGACCGAACCAACTACTACTGAAAAAAAGGTCGCAGAAAAAATCCACATCACTCCGATGATCAGAAACATTGCTGATTTGTTTATAATGGCATGATATCGTAGAGGAAAACAAATAGCAATAAGTCTGTCATAAGCCAAAGCAAGTAATGTTAAAGACTGCATATTCATGAAATGAAGCACAAAAAACATATTGGCCATGCATGCTTCATATGAAATGTCCTGGTGATCAAACAAAAATGTGTCAATGACTTTTGGAATCAAAGCCGAGCTTCCACACAGATCAGAAAAGGCCAGATGGAAAACAGCAATGTATTTGGCTGTGTGAAGTCTGCGGGCCAAATAAATGATATACATGATGAATGAATTCCCCAAAACAGTCACAACATACACTAAAGACAAGAACACATAGTAGTATTTTGCATGTGGAACATTAGAAAGGCCACTGAGAAAAAATGTTGCAGGACGAACAAAGGTCACATTTGCAGAAGAGTTTGACTGCATGGAGCTCATGACACCTGCTGTCTGGATCTTTGTGTCACCTGTAATGAAGACCTGTTTAAGAAATAAACTTAGACGCAAACTCATATAGAGATTCAACTTACATCCACAGTAAATAAGCAAAAGTGAATAAACAGATGTTTGACATTGAAATAATATTAAAGTTATTGCATTGCTGCAGCAAAATTAGTATACAGAATCAAAGACTCATACTATGGTTCATACTGTACCTTCTCCAATGCTGACAGAATGGATTTATTCTACCAGCTAGCAGACATATTTATACCTGATCGTTCTGTTGTACTTTGGACTTTTGTTCGTTGATCCCTGTAGACTTCTGTAAATGGGGGCGGGAGTAGGCTTATGTTGAAATGAAGATAAAAGATTTTTAAAAAGATGAATGTGTAAACCATGATAAAATTAAAGACTTAATAATAAAATAGAGCCAAAAATGCTTTATTAATTGAAGAATGTTTGTATGACAATATTGCTGACCACAATACCCCATACTGTAAATTTTCAATCATCATGGCTTCATGCACCACTCAAAACAACCACAGCAGCAATTATATGTCAGTATTTTGGAGAGATTGTGGTATTTATTATTTGTATTAATATATTTTTATATTTGTATCACTAAAATTTTGCACTTTAGTTGCATAGGAACTTAAGTTCATTCATTATTGTTACGGTAGTAATTTAGAATCAAAATTTATCTTCATATGAACTTTGAGCTTCTATTTGCTTGTTGATCAGTGTTTAGACTTTAACGTAAGGACTAGAACATCACATATTGCATTACAAATATTTATGGTGAAACTTTGGGAATAATAGTTTGGAATAATAATGGCAAGTAAATGATGATAGAAATTATATTTTCTCCTACCAGTTCCTCTTTACCTCAAAGCTGTTATATCATAGTAAGCAATGTTATAACCAAAATTGCTTACCCCTGTACAACAGTAAGTTTGCCTATCTGGACTTTTTTCAAAATGTGTTAGTCTGAAAGGATTATTTCTATTAGACTTATTTAAGTGATTTAACATAAAATATGTTTAGGTACAAATACAGATGTACAAATATTTAGGTGGTTAGCGCTGTCGCCTTACAGCAAGAAGGTTTCTGTTCAGTTGGCATTTCTGTGTGTAGTTTGCATGTTCTCCCTGTGTTCCTGTGGGTTTCCTCCTGGTTCTCTAGTTTTTGCCACAGTTCAAAGACATTCAGTATAAACCTTTTTCTTCGTTGCTGCATGGAGGGCGCCATAGTGACCAGTGCCTTCTGGGTGTTTAGAACTTCCATTAAGAAATGTTATCAGCCAGAGCAGCGTTTCTCAACTGGGTGTCAATACTGTTTTCAGTGGCTAACAGAGTTTTTTTGTGATGCAAAACTTAAATTTTGAAAGATAGATGCGTGTTAAAACCGTTATACTTCTGTCAGATGCAGTTCAAGTGTGAGAGAAAAGTGCTTTTCTAATTTGGTGTCTGCCATCAGATCAGATGCTGAAGTATAGCGTCAGTGTTTCCGGCCTGTGAGCTGTTTTACTGTACTCAGCAGCTTTTCTAATCGGGAGCATGTTTCATCTAGTTAGTTTGTGTTGTGTAGTATTTACCATGGTATATGTTTTTTTGTTATTTTAAAATGCCACTTTATTTTCACTTTATTTTATGACACTTGTTTAATCATTTTGTTAGTACAGTACAAGCTATGTTTGTGTCTCAAGCATTTTGGAGAATTACATTTGTTTGGGTTGCTTATTTATTTGAAAGAGAGAAATTGCTGACTTTAGCGATGACTAGGCTTCATTTTAATAGCACTAGATGCCGTCTGACAACAAGGGAAAAATGCCTTGGATCAGTTGTTTTCCAACACATTAGATCGCATTTTTAAAATAATCAGTTCAGAAGTGGTGTTGATTGACTGCAGTATTCGTTTAAAGGTGTTAAAAGCAAACAAAATCGATTAAAACTATCGTTTCAAAGCTGTCCGAATGTGACTCTTTATACAAATCAGTTGCCGAACAGAAGTTTGAAGCATTCTCCTTGCACATACACACAAAGCATAATGGGTAATTTTGCGGTCTAAGAAAAAGGTGAATTGGGCAAATAAAATTGTCTTCTGTATTTGAAATCACCCCTATTGTACCCTCATTCACTTTTCCACCTTTAGAGCTGCACGATTCTGGCAAAAGTGAAAATCACTTTTTTTTTTTTTTTGCTTGAAATAAAAATCACAATTTTCTCACAATTCTGTAGATGTAAAATAAAGGTTAATATAAGTGGGCTATTATTATTGTTATTCTCAAACATGTGGTAAAACAGCAATAGGCTTTGTGTAGCTGTACTGTTGGTTAAAATGCTAAATTTTGTATTGGAATGGTGGACTTGAACAGACTTTACATTTGTCGTAGTCATTCATGCTAATGATAATTCTGATGTTGAATTATTGTGTTTGTAACGTATGCTTACAATCTGTCATTTTCTGCTTAAAATTTATCACTGGCGTGATTTTCGTGAATACAGATGACTGGGCGGGTATTTTTGCATTTCGGAAGGTTTTGGATACTTTTTGGGCTGAAATCAGTCAACTACATCTGGCAACACTGTGTGCGCTTTCGGTTTCATTTTCACTGCTAAGAACGGTTCTCTTCCCGCGCGGCTCCCAAACAATCACTCTGTGCCACAAACTGGATGTTATTAAAAACTTTATTAGCTGTTATTAACAGCCTATGCCTGTTCTGGTCACTGAAGAAAACATTATTCAGAGGTGCACGTGCGTCCGCCCTCTCTGTGGTAACAGCTGACCGTCAGCTCACGTCACGTGTAATTTTGCGGTCACAAATACATTACATGAAGACAGAAATTACATTTTTGGGGTGAATTAAATCTTATAAATACATTATGTGACTCATTCAACACCATTTGGAGGTGTCCACGTTGCTAAACAATGCTTTTACTTTATTCCTACAAACTCTTCTCATTACCTCAGCTATATTGTGACACAAGACCTAACCAACACAGCAACTCCTTGATCTGTTTATCTGTTTGCTTTTCATTTTTGTTAACCCCAATGTTTTGTTTGTAGTGTTTGTTTTGCTACCATGTTGCCATAGACCCCCTCCAGTTCCCAGAATTTCTCCTCCTGCTGAAACCCACAATTCAGTTTCTCCAGCCCCAGAGGGGATTGTTGTGTCAGGCTACAATCCAGTTTTTGCCTCCCTGGGGGGGCATTGTTGACTCAGGCCCCAATCCAGTTTCTGCAGCCCTAAAGGGCATGGTTGATTCAGGCCCAGATCCAGTTCATGAAGAGCCAGATGGCATTGCTGGCCCGGTTCAGTGTTGGCTCCAGCCCCAGCACACCTGCCAGTAATTGCTCCAGCAACTGTATGTGGCTTAATGTCAGCTGTCCAAGCTTCTTGCCCTGCCAGTCTCAATCCAATTCCTTGCCCCGTCTGTGCCACCCAAGCTTTTTATCCTGCCGGTTTAAGACCTCCAACTGTTTCTTTTCACTTTGGGCTCAAATAATTCCAAATCTAGCTTACTTGCGTATGCAGACAAATCAGTGATGTTGCTGTCATTTGGACAAAATGTTGTTTAGACCGTGTTGACTTTCAAAATACCTTATTTCCTGTAATGCAGTACAGGTTTGGGATAATACAAATCTGAGTAAACAACAAAAGTTAACCTTTTTTTTTTTTTTTTTGGTGAATTGTTTTTAATTTCACAAATATACATATGTAGGTGAATAAGATGTGCCCTGTGTCTTTTATTTTACATATACATATTTATTTATGTTAGAATACCATTGTGTTATACTCTGGGTGGGTTTATCTATGCAATAGCTTTCATATAGCATTGTGTACCATGTGCTGGCGCTATGCTGTTGTGCAGTGATTTTATTACTTTTGGTGATTGAAAGGTTCATTGATCACTTGTAATGAAAGTCTATTCAAGACTATTCAATTCACAAACTCTCTGTTGGTCAACTAATTAGCAATACACAACAGTTTAAAAACATGGTTCATGATTATAACAAACATGATGCAGAAGCGTTTCTAAAACGAAAAAATTTAATGAAAAATATTCTCTGTTGATTTATTTTTAACAGAAAATTAACTTTAATGTGGTGCCACAAATTATTTGCATTTTATTTTGAACAAAACATGCAATTAAAGAATAGCTACTATGGGTTTTAGCTCAGAGGTGTAAAACAAAATTGGCAAAACCAATTAGGTACTGTTAAAAATCATTGGTAATCAGCAAATATATTAAGCTGGTAAACGTTTTTATTTCTCTTTCAGCATTTTGTTTTACTTACTCTAATTGTGTTCATTCTACTGCGTTTGTACAGTTCTTTTACAGATTGCATAACCTCGTCTGTCTTTAGAGTGTATATGATGGGATTCAGCATAGGTGGTATTGTCTGTGTCAGGGAATTGTTTATTATCTGAATGTCTGAAGTGAACGGTGTTGTTAAAGCTGCAATATTATTGCTTAAAATTGGAATATAAAAAATTGCCACTAACATGAGATGTGTGGTGCATGTTTTTATGGCTTTGGTCCGGTCAACAGCATGAGCAATTTTAAACAAAGCCAGAGAAATGCAGAAATATGAAATGAAGACTAATATCAGTGGCGTAAAAATAAGGAGATCATTCCCAAGTTTTCCCATCAAAATATTTATAGAATTATCATTACAAGCTAGTCTGTAGACAGTACAATAATCACAGAAATAATTATTAATCACGTTAGTTCTGCAAAAAGAGAGTCTATTTATAGAATCTACAAACACAGAAAAAAATATTAGAGAAAATGTCCATATCACTCCTAATATCAGCAGCATGGATGTTTTGGTTACAATCTCATGATATCTTAAAGGAAAACAAATGGCGACCAGTCTGTCATAAGCCATGACAAGTAGTGTCAAAGACTGCACATTCATAAAATGAAAAACAAAAAATATATTAGCCATGCATGCTGCATATGAAATGTCCTGGTGGTCAAATAAAAATGTATCAACGACTTTTGGAATCACAGCTGAGCTTCCACACAGATCACAAAGAGCCAAATGAAAAACAGCAATATATTTGGCTGTGTGAAGTCTGCGGGACAAATAAATAATACACATGATAAATGAATTCTCCAAAACAGTCACAGCATACACCAATGACAAGAACAAATAGTAGTATTTTGCATGTGGAAAATTTGAAAATCCATTAAGGAAAAATGTTGCAGGACGAACAAAAGCCACATTTGCAGAAGAGTTGGAATCCATTGAGCTCATGATATTTGTTCCAGGTTTTTAGTGTGAACTGTGATGGAACATCATAAAAATGCATTCAATTACAGAGATTATTCAAATAATGTATTTTCATTATATTAATTTAGTAATTACTATTTAACTATTTTCATGTCATATCATTTTTCATTTTTTGAAATAACCCCATCAAACAATAATAAAAAGTAATTGAGCAAGAACAGAATCATAGAGAAGAAGCAGTGCATGTTTTATATACTCTACCTTCTGCAAAGCTTCCACAATGTTGCTATTCAGCCAATAGACACATTTATATTAGTTTATTCACTTGAGATTGGGGTTATGGATCAGCCCTTTTCCCTGTAGAATTGCAGATAAAGATGCAGGACTTTTTACATATTTATGTATTATTTTTAGATCACAAATAAGGTATTATATAAAACCATATGTTTTATATATTAAAGTAATTTGTTTTTTTTTTAGGTTAGTCCCTTTATTAATCAGGGGTTGCCACAGTGAATGAACAGCCAACCTATCCAGCATATATTTTACGCAGCGGATACCCTTCCAGCCGCAATCCAGTACTTGAAAACACTCACACACACATACACTATGGCCAATTTAGTTTATTCAATTCACCTATAGCGCATATGTTCGGACTGTGGAGGAAACCGGAGCACCCGGAAGAAACCCACGCCAACACAGGGAGAAAATGCAAACTCCACACAGAAACGCTAGTTTCAACTAGCGCCAATGGTGTAGTGGTTAGGGCTTCGACACATGCACTCTAGTGCTCAAGGCAACCTGAATTTGATTCCGCCACGTGGTGCTACGTGGATCCCTCCCCTCTCTCTGCTTCCAATGCTTTCCTGTCAATTCTCTCTACTTTCCTATCGAATAAAGGTGAAAGCCCTGAAAAAAAAATAATTTAAAACATTGTTAAACACGGTTGGCATGTTAAATTAAAACATGCCAACTGAATTAGCCGAGGCTTGAACCAGCAACCTTCTTTCTGTGAGGCGATCATGCTACCCACTGTGACGCCATATAAAAGTAATATATATAGAAAATGATGATTTAGCTCACTGAAGTTGATTCCCTAAAGTTTAATTTAAACTTTGTGTGGATCAAAGTTAGCAGAACTCAAACAAATACCGGAGAATGAGTCACCGAAGACAACAATTAATGTAATCAGGAGAGTAAAGGTGTCTCTTCAAAATGAAAATGCTTATCATATTTACTAGGTTTCAACCTGGAGGTTTTGTTACATTACTGTAACATTAAAACTTTTGGCAAATGCTTTAAACTGCATGGTTTGGAGAAGGTACTCTGTACTGTAGTTTGATGAGATACAAGCTCCTTATCAGTTAAAGTAGTTAAGCTACAGCACTATAACCTTTCTACCCAAGTAGATATTTACATTGACTTTTTCACAATGACATACATTACTTAAATATTTGTTAATGAGGAATGATATTAGTTAAATATCTTGTATTTAAAACAATTAAATTACAAATACAATTATGATGTCAAAGCTTAATGTATTACACAAGGTTTTCCAATTGACTGCTGAGAGTCAATGTACAAATTTGCAACATTGCAATGCTACATCTAACAAAATGTAAGTACCTTAAACGGTACCATTTTCTCAGCAAAAAAAAAAAAAAATGATATGAAGAATACTTTTAAATAATATAAAAAATGATTAGATTACTTTTACTATTGAATCTCAACCATTGTTACTTGAAGAAATTTGGTTTACAAAATAACAGTAATTAAAAAATAAATTTATGACGAGTGATATATAAATTTATTTCTTTACTGTAATTCACTGTTCTAGTGTATGCTTATATAAGATGATGGTGTGCTGGAAAAAAAATTGTAAGCTCTTTAAAAGGCTACATTGTTTTATTAGCAGCTAAGCTTATAAAATAAAGTAAAAAATAATAAAGTATCATATACATATACACATAAACACACAGGTTTGTTATTTTAGATATTAGTTGAATTATAACAGTGTGAAAGTGTCATTAAATTTGTTGTTATTAGTTCAAATTTTTCCTGCTGCATCAAATTCTTTTTATAGCTGTGTTAATTTTTCTTCGTTTGTACAGATCTTTTATGGATTCCATGACCTCCTCTGTCTTCAGAGTGTATATGATGGGATTCAGCATAGATGGTATTACCTGTCTCAAAGAGTTGTTAAATATCCGAGTGTTTGGATCAATAGATGTTGTTAACGCTGCAATTTGATTGCTTATCAAAGGTAGATACCCGATTGCCACCAACATGAGATGTGAGGTGCAGGTTTTCATGGCTTTGATCCGGTCAACACCATGAGAAATCTTAAGCAGAGCCAGAGCAATGAAAAAATATGAGATCACAATCAGCATGAAAGGTGTGCACATTAGGAGACCAAAACTAATTTTTCCCATCATTAGATTTATAGAATTATCATTACAAGCAAGTTTATAGATAATGCCTTGATCACAAAAATAACTGTCTATCACACGAGATCCACAAAAAGAGATTCTGTTGACCAAACCTACAAGCACTGAAAAATATATCACAGAAAAAATCCACATCACTCCTACGATCAGAAACATTGACGGCTTGGTCACAATGGCTAGATACCGTAGAGGAAAACAAATAGCAACCAGCCTGTCGTAGGCCATGACAAGTAGTGTTAAAGACTGCAGATTCATGAAATGGTAAATAAAAAACATATGTGTCAAACATGCTTCATATGAAACGTCCTGGTGATCAAATAAAAGTGTATCAATGACTTTTGGAATAACAGTTGAGCTTCCACACAGATCAGAGAGGGCCAGATGAAAAACAGCAATGTATTTAGCTGTGTGAAGTCTGCGGGACAAATACATGATACACATGAGAAATGAATTCCCCAAAACAGTCACAACATAAGCTAAAGACAAGAACACATAGTAGTATTTTGCATGTGGAACATTAGAAAGGCCACTGAGGAAAAATTTTGCAGGACGAACAAAGGTCAGATTTGCTGAAGGATTTGTCTGTATGGAGCTCATGACACCTGCTGTCTGGGTCTTTGTAACCTGTGAGAAAAGAACTGCAATGCTCTCAATAACAGAATGTTCAAATAATGATTTAATTTCCAGTTGCTGATGTGACCCAAACAAATAATTCAAGAAGTCACTGCAGTAAAATAGAGAGAAAAAGGACACATGGTTCAGTCTCTACCTTCTGCGAAGCTTCCACAGTGTCATTGTTCTACCAGCCAGCAGACAAATTTATATCAAATCATTCTCTTGAGCTTGGGATTTTAGGTGATGCAGCGACTCTCCCTACAGACATAATAAATGGATGATAAATCAACAGTGGAACTATCCAATGCTTTTTTTTTTCTTTTACTACTACTTTCTTCATCTGCCAGGATGCCTCTTAACTGCCCCAATTAATGAATTCCACAAATGAAATACATTGCAGTTATAGTTATCGTTAAAATGTACATTTCATTAGTTAAATGAGATTTCACAGGTATATAATGCATCTTGTTAAAAAATGAAGCATTCAACAAATTATTTCAGCAAAAATTTATATTGTTGATTGTCTGTCTCGCCAGTTTGTTGGATAGAAACACAAATGCAAAGTGAAAGTTCTTGCACGTATCATATAATGGAAGTTCTTTATCATAAAACTGATTGCACAGTTGTAATTTTTAATTATTGTTATTATTTTATTGGATGACAGATGTAATTAGGGATGTACCAAATTTTCAGCAGACGAAAATTATTTGCAAAAATAGCATTTTGAGTTGAAAAAGGGAAGAAAATATCAGCTGAAAAGGGATATGTGGTGCCGCACTCTTCTGCATGCTGGTTTCTCTCTCTCTCCAGCTGTAGACACTGAGTAACAGAAGCAGAAAACTTTGTGGGATATAACCATTCATTTAAATCTACAACGTAAAGGCCGTTTTTTTTTTTTTTTTTTTTTTTTTTTCCTCCGTCGACCAAAAGGCATGAGCAAGTGTGCTGTGGCCAAAGATCAAAATAGTGTAATATTCCACTTTATTCTATCTGCTTATGCATGAGCTGCACATTCACTCAAAAAATGCTCTTACTGGACATTTCTATGCAATTCAATTTTTCAGCTGCTTGCAATAAATGTGCATTGCAATAAATGTACTGTGCTGGCGACTTGTTCACTGTCAATAAGATGTGTACCTGGACCACAAAACTAGTCATAAGTGTCAATTTTTGTAAATTAATAGATTTATCACACTGAATAAGAATAAATAAGCGTTCCATTGGTGTATAAATTGTTAGGACTATATTTGGCCATATAAAACTACTACTACTACTTGTAAATCTACAATTTGAGGATTAAAAATAAAGTCTATATATTAAGACAGTTGCCTCAACTGCTAATATTATAATTATATATTATTATACATTATAATAAAGTGTTTAGCAATGCATATTACTAAGCCAAATTTGAGTCTTAAAATATTTACAGTAGAAAATGTACAAAATATCTTAAAGAAACATAATCTTCTTTATATTCTTATAATTTTTGGCACAAAAGATGAACTGATAATTTTGACCCATTCTTTACATGAACTATATATAGACTTATATATATATATAATATAATGATTAGGCTCAGGTTATACCTGCACCACATGGTCTTAAGAAAAAAAAAAAGTTTCAGTTGAAACAATTGACTATATATTCAAGATTGTGAAGATGCTGATGAGGAAAGCACAGTTTTTTTTTAATAGGTTTCAACACAAAAGATTTAAATATTTAAAGATAATTGACTCTTTACAAAGTAAATTAAACAAAACAACATCTGTTAAGTGCATATTAGAAATTTGTCGAATGATCACAGCAGATTTTAAAAAAAAATTATATATTTATATATATATATATACAGTATATATATTATACATATATTTTAATTTCCCCTTTCACATTTCATTTTTCTTTCTATAGCTGTGTTAATTTTTCTTCGTTTGTACAGGTCTTTCATGGATTCCATGACCTCCTCTGTCTTCAGAGTGTATATGATGGGATTCAGCATAGATGGTATTACCTGTCTCAAAGAGTTGTTAAATATTCGTGTGTTTGGATCAATAGATGTTGTTAAAGCTGCAATTTGATTGCTTATAAGTGGGAAATAGCCGATCGCCACTAACATTAGATGTGAGGTGCAGGTTTTCATCGCTTTTATCCGTGCACCACCATGAGCAATCTTAAGCAGAGCCAGAGCAATGAAAAAATATGAGAGAAAAATCAGTATGAGGGGTGTACACATTAGGAGACCAAATGTCATTTTCCCCATCAGTAAATTTATAGAAATATCATTACAAGCAAGTTTATAAATAAGACCATGATCACAAAAATAACTGTCAATCACATTAGATCCACAAAAAGAAATTCTGTTGACCAAACCTACAAGCACTGAAAAATATGTCAAAGAAAAAATCCACATCGCTCCTATGATAAGAAACATTGACGGCTTGGTTACAATGGCATGATATCGGAGAGGAAAACAAATAGCAACTAGTCTGTCATAAGCTAAGATAAGTAATGTTAAAGATTGCATACTCATGAAAAAATACACAAAAAACATATTTGCCAAACATGCTTCATATAAAATGTCCTGGTGCTCAAATAAAAACGTGTCAATGATTTTTGGAACAACAGTTGAGCTTCCACAGAGATCAGAAAAAGCCAAATGGAAAACAACAATATATTTGGCTGTGTGAAGTCTGCGAGCTAAATAAATAGTACTCATGAGAAATGAGTTTCCCAAAACAGTAGCAACATGAACTAAAGACAAGAACATATAGTAATATTTTACATGTGGAACATTAGAAAGGCCGTTTAGAAAAAAGGTTGCAGGACGAACAAAGGTCGTGTTTGCAGAAGAGTTTGACTGCATGAAGTTCATGACACCTGCTGTCTGGGGTTTTGCCACCTGTAAAAAAAGAATAATTCAATGTACGCTGCACGAAATATAAATAATGGTTTCAAGGCTTTGCTAAAACCCAATTTTAACTAATAATTCCAGATATAAATGTAGTAACATATTTAGAGAACAAACAATACAAGGTATATATATACCTTTTGCAAAGCTTTCAAAATGTCCTTATTCTACCAACCATCAAACAACTTTATATCATTTAATTCACTTGAGATTGCAACATTAGTTGAAGCAACAAAGCTCCCTATTGAGTGGAAAATGAAGGGGCAGGGCTACATCGATGGTGCCATTGTCCAGAAAGCTCTTTTTATTTTTTGGATAACATACAATTGTGAACAGGTCATTAGCATTCAATATATCTCACGCTCCACTTAATGAAACAGTCTCTACTGATACAGTCTATGGCAGGTCACTCAGCAAGCTTGACCTGGCCATTGGACAGACAGGGAGATCCTTTTGGGTATGGGACTTGCAGGCAGGTTTCATAAATAAATCAATTGAATTCAGGCCAGCATCCTTCTATGTAATCATGAGACCCTGGCCTAGTTGTATGCCAAAGTTTCCTACTTCTTTTCGAGATCAGGTGATAAATCTGTGTTGCCTTAGGAGGCCGACCCAGCTTTAGATTTGCTTTGTCCAATTCTTGCGTATTTTTTTGGACCACATGTGCATCCTCAGAAGCTCATAGCAGCTCTTTGTTTCTGAGGTCAACAAAAGGGAAAAGGAACAGAGGTTGGTTAATTGTTTTATAATGGATGTCATCACCTTGGCATGCCTGTCACAATACTAACTCTGCAAGGAGTGTTTCCTGCTCCTGGGCATCAGAGTATGGCACCCCTTTAGCAGATATCTTTAGAACTGTGGGCTAGATGACCAGTATATTCACAGCATTCAAAAATAGGGGAAGAGCAGGATCGGTGTCACAAAATGGTTCCCTGATTCCACTGAGCATAATTTTTGGATTAAGAGGCCTTTAAAAAGATTTTCTATTGGCAGCAAGTGTTTTTTTGTGCTGTTCATGCACCCCAGACCTCTCTCTACCAATTCTAACGCCTGGTTTATACTTTTGCGTCAAGTGATCAGCCTTACTTACGTCGCATTCATACTTCTGTGCGCTGTTTCTGTAGCTCTGCAATAAATTTTCGAAACGCTAGCTGGGAGTAGGTGCCTATGTTCCTCTGTGTCGAGTTTCTTCACTGGTGTTTTGTTTTTTTCTGAACGCTTCCTTAATTTACAAGTGGTTCAAACTCGCTCATTTTGAGGCAGGAATCGGCGGACGTGCAACAGCTTTAACAATAATGTAAACACAAAGCAACAGTCTCCATCCGGAGCTCCTTTATAAACACTTGACACATGGTCCTGCCCACACTTGTCAGCGCTTCCAAGCCGGCCAATCACAGAGCTTGCGCTACGCATCGTTGCGACATGTAGTTACATATTTTGAGATGTGCACGTCGGCGAGGGCTATGCATCCACTCGTAGGCTGTGCCGTAGCATACACGTGCGCTTGACACAGAAGTATAAATCAGCCTTAAGCCTGCACTTGTGGTTAAAATAAAAAAAGTCTGTGCAGAAAAAGAGCATAACGTCATACTCTAGCACCAGGACAATTGATAGATTAAAAGCACAGTACACTGCTCTTTTCTAAAGTCAACAAAAATACAGTGCAGTGCGTTTTTACATTTTTAAAAACACCTTTGGTGTGATTAACCCTTTACTGGGTCATTTCTCCCCACCTTAAAATGTGTGCACTTATTCTACTCTTCTAGTAAATTCCCCAACTAGAAAACTCTAGTCTTTCCTTGAAACATCTTTCCTTCTGGGAAACACGTCTTTCTCATGGCAGAGACTTTCTGTCTTATTTTCTCTTATTTAGTTGACTCAATAGGATCAGGTCATATGTGTATCTGCACATTATATCCCTAATAGGTATGTCTTATTCAGACAAAAAAACTTTCCTATAACATACTGTTGTAATTGAACAAAGATTCCCAAGTTTTGGATAAATAGCAACATAAGCTTAAACATGGGATGATTATGATTTTGTTGACAACAGTGTCTATTGTTATGATTATGGTATAATTTAAAGAGCATGTAAATGTATGATGTATAAGCTTGTTGTAAAATGTGAGTGTGGGTGTGAATGGTAGTGTGTAAGTGTTTCCTATAACTTGTGCTGCACAAGCTCATTCACTTTCAGAGATAGGTTGCAACTGTAAGGGCACTCACTGGTAAAATGTTCCAGAGTTATTAGTGGTTCATTCTGCTGTGGAGACCACTGATAAAGAAGGGAATAAGCTGAGGTAGAGTGAGTGAAAGCTTGTTGGTATTGTAAATATATACTTATTATTGATTTAAAAATAACATTGATCTCATTAAATATGATTTAAATAAACAAATAGTATACATTTTTTAGCAGTCAAAACATTTAAAGAGCCCATATTATACATGAAATAGGGTCATATCTTGGTTGTAAGGGTCTCCAACAACAGTCTAATATGCATGCAAGGTCAAAAAACACTTTCATGGTCTTAAAATCTGCATTTATTTTTACCTAATTATCCCAGCGACTCCTGTATAAATCGTCCAGTGATTCATTTGTTCCCAAACCCCTCCTTAGCGCGAAGCTACTCTGCGCTGATTGGACCGATGACAGTCTGTCACGATTAGTCGACTGCCTTCAGTCAGAGAATGAAATGCCCAATAGCTAATCAGCAATATAAAAAGTAATCACAGTTCATACACATTCGTTAGTGTAGGCGTGGATTTTAGCTGCCACACACACACACACAAACACACACACACCTCCGGACAACAACGCTCCCGCTTCCGCCCGCACCCGCCAGGTTTTAGCCTGAGAACCCGCCCCGTTTTCTGCCCGCCGCGCCCGATCCCGCTAGAGCGAAGGAGAACACAACCAAATATCACCCAGCTATACAGTCCAGACAGCCAAGCTGTCTGTATAAACACACACACAGGACCAAGCACACAAAGCTCTCGCTCGCGCTCTCTCTCATACACGCGCGTGCGCACTAACACACATACACACAAGCACCAAGCAGACACATCTTTCTCATTCGCATAGCAATATCCGTGATATTGCTAGACAGCCCGCTCCCGTCCCAAATTAAACCCGTTACCGACCGCTCCCGCGACTTATTCGGAAATTTATTCCCACGCCACAGAAATCTGGCGCGGGGACAGCCGCGGGAATGCAGACCTCTACCACGGAGCTCCGTAAACAAACAGCACGCGTCGCGTTTTTAACGTGACTTTGCACGCGATAAGAGAATATAGCCAGTTAACCTGATACAGTACACTCGGTTACAAGTAACAAATCACAACTAAATACATTTGCAAGCTAGAGTCAACAAGGCAACAACTTTAATCGCACATACTTACACTTGAGAAATGGAGGAAGAAAAATCCATCCTGACATGTCCAGCAGTAAGTTACTCTTTACTGATCCTTCCTTTAACAAACGCAGATGAAGTATTCTGTGTAGCATGTAGCTTCCAGAAGTTTCCAGTAGTTTCCAACTGCTTGGTCATAATGCTGATGTTTCAACTTTGGGTAGACCCTCGATAATATCTATCTGCAGTGTGACTTCAATCGACCGGCATGTTTGTGTGCGTGTGTTTGTGGGGGTGTGTGTGTGTGACTAGGTTTCTGCATCAGAGGGCGGGGCCTCAGGTTTGAAATCTCCCGGGTTTGCGCGTGCACGTGAATAACTTGGTTTCGTTCGTACGTCATGGCGAAACACCTAATGAATCGGTATCAAGGCGACTCGTTTGAAGCACTATGAGTCGACTCTTTTATAGATGAATCAACCGTTTTAAACACTGTATTCTTACAGATTTAAGCCTTAGCTGGATACTTCACTTCACTTAGAGCTGTGTTACACACTACATGGAGGGAAATTTTCAAAAACCCATAATATGGGCTCTTTAAATGAAATAATTATGAAAACACCCACCCCTGGTTTTCAATAATATTTGATAGTTCTTTTTTTACAAATTGTTTTATTTATGTTTTTCCTCTATTCGTCCTCTTATGTTTGGTTTTCTGTATTTAGGATTGATTTTTGTTATTTTTTGTGCATGTTTAAATGTAAAAAAAGTGACACACATAGTGCCTTATTGCTGGTTTGTTGATGTGTTTGATAGAATTATGATCTGCTTCATAGATTTTTGATCAATAGGAATTAATTAGTCTTTTCTGTAAAATGATTTCATTTTCAGACTTTGATCTTGCAAAGAAGAAAAGAAAATAGGCCTTTGCTTGTAGTTAATGTTACATCTTCCAGCTATTCTAGTTAGCTGTACTGTTAGGTGCACGCAAACTTGTAGATGCTCTCTAATATTCATTTATTAATTTTCCTTTGGCTTAGTCCCTGATTGATCAGGGATCCCCACAGCAGAATTAACCGCCTGCTTTCTAATGTAGGTCTATATAAATTATATTTCTGTATTCTGCTTTCTTGCTTGTCATAGTTACTGACTTGGAATAATTTAGTTCACCGAAACACATGCTTTCAGAGAACATTCTAGGATCACTCTAAAGAAAAAAAAATGTTGACCTACTGAATGGAAGTTACAAAGTTCTGGTCATGGCAAGCAAAACTAAAATGAATACCAGCTAATGGTTGATTCAGGATCTAAATATATTTAGGAGTGTGATGTCATCTGTTCAGTGCAGAAAAAAAATGATGGAGCATTTCTAAACCTTTTGCAATTTTTAAAGCAAATATAATTAAAATATTCTTTCATGTCACTTAAACTTAACGTTTTATTATTTGAAATCTTCTTTTGAGGTTGTTTATATAGCCTTTTAAATTAGCAAAACCAATCACCAAATGGCTTTAATAAGTTTTAGCTCAGAGATTTACAAATGTACAACACAGATTTGTTACATCATCTGACATTTAATCAATCAACTCAACTGATTTTTCAGCTGATAATAACTTTAAACCTGTATTTTTTGTTTAGAGTTTCTACTGTTCCATTTCATTCTTCTTTCAGTAGTTGTGTTCACTTTTCTTTTGTATAGTTCTTTTACGGACTGCATGACCTCATCAGTCTTTAGAGTGTATATGATGGGATTCAGCATAGGTGGTATTGCCTGTGTCAGGGAACTGTTAATTAACCGTGTGTTTAGGTGGACTGATGTTGTCAAAATTGCAATTTGATTACTTAAAAATGGAATAAAAAATATTGCCACCAACATGAGATGTGAGGTGCAGGTTTTTATGGCTTTGGCTCGATCAACACCATGAGCAATCTTAAACAAAGCTAAAGAAATGCAGAAATATGAAATGAAGATCAGTATGAGTGGCGTACAGATCAGAAGACCAAAGTTAATTTTTACCATCATAATATTCACAGAGTTATCATTACAAGCTAGTCTATTGATCAGGCTGTAATCGCAAAAATAACTATCGATCACATTAGATTTACAAAAAGAAAGTCTATTTAGCAATCCTACAAATACAGAAAAATGTGTCACAGAAAAAATCCACATCCCTCCTAGGATCGAAAACATTGCTGCATTGGTTACAATGGCATGATACTGCAGAGGAAAACAAATAGCAACCAGTCTGTCATAAGCCATGACAAGTAGCGTTAAAGACTGCAGATTCATAAAATGATATGTAAAAAATGTGTTTGCCAAACATGCTTCATACGAAATCTCCTGGTGGTCAAATAAAAATGTATCTATAACATTTGGAATCACAGTCGAGCTTCCACACAGATCAGAAAAGGCCAGATGGAAAACAACAATGTATTTGGCTGTGTGAAGTCTGCGAGACATATAAATCACACACATGATAAATGAATTTCCCAAAACAGTAGCAACATACACTAAAGACAAGAACACATAGTAGTATTTTGCATGTGGAACATTAGAAAGGCCACTGAGGAAAAATGTTGCAGGACGAACAAAGGTCTCGTTTGCAGAAGAGTTTGACTGTATGAAGCTCATGATACCTGCTCTCTGGGTCTTTGTGTCACCTGTAATAAAGGAATGTGATATAAATATGCTTAATAGCAGAAAATATTGAACAAAAATAAATCTTACCCGTCAAAGTGTATTAAGGAACAAAACTTTTTAAATTTACAAACAAATAATAAAATAGTTCATTGAGTTACAATAGAATTAGAGAGAAAGAGGAACTCCACCTTATCATACTCTACCTTTTGCAAAGCTTCCACAATGTCATAATTCTACCTGCCAGCAGACAAATTTATATTATGTAATTCTCTTGAGCTTGAAACTTCAGTGGATGAAGCAACAATTTCCTCTATAGACATGAACAAGAAGGAACAGGAATAAATCAACAGTGCCAACTCTGTCCAAAAAAAAAAAAAAAAAAAAATCTTTTATAAAATAAAATTATGGGCAAGGAGTTAATTATTGTAAAAAGTGGCTAATCAGATTTTTCAGTTACTCGTATCATTCAAAATTAAAGTTCTGTAATTAATTGTTCATCCTTGGTTGTTCCAAACCTCATGATATCTTCATTCATCTTGAGAACACAAGTGAAAATATTTACAGCAGAGCTATCTGACGGCAAGGGTCGCTAAGCGTCCAAAGTTCAGATAGTTATCAAAAATGTCTACAAAACAGTGCAGACATATACCCTGGGTGAAATGTCAGTGCAAACACGAAACTCGAAAATGTGTGCCATGAATTGACACAAAAGAGAAAAAACATTTTGTGAATACAAAAGTTTTCTCGTAGCTTCAAAAGTTCACAGTGGAACCACTAAAGACGCATGAAATGTTTTAACCATGGTTTTGGTTCATGAATTACATAACCCTTGCTGTCTTTAGAGATTCATAGAGCTCCTGGATTTTATACAATATATCCTAATTTGTGTTTTGAAGATAAATGAAGGTCTCTAGACCTTACAGAATTTTTGGATGAACTATTCATTTACAGTGAAATAATTATTAATATGTAAAATTACAATTAAATCTTTAACTTATAAAATAATGTGCCACTCCTGAGGGTTTAATGTTACTGTATTTACTAACATGAACAACATATTTATTAATAGTATTTATTAATAATTTTTAACTGTAGTTGTCATTTAAAGCATGTCTTTGTTAACAAGTACAACTTTTGATCTTAATAATGCATTAGTAAATGTTGAGCTATGATTCTATATAGTACTAGTATTGTTCATTCCTAGTTCTATGTATACTGTATACATTTACTAGCATTAACAAATGAAACCTTATTGTAAAGGGTCACATTATGAATACACTTGATTGATATCTGTGAACTTCAGGTATAAAAATGTAAATAAATGGAAATATTGGTATCAATTTCATTCATTTATACTTTTTTATTATTATTATTTTTATTTTATTTTTTGCTGATTATCACGGTTTACCATAACGAAGTGAACCAACAACTACTCTGGCATATGTTTTACTCAGTGGATGTCTTTCCAGCCACAACCCAGTATAAAAGCTAGAATTGTATAATGCTTTCAAATAGTGTTGTGACAATACTTAAATGTTGTCTTCGGCAAAATACCTAAATTAATAAATATCACAATACCAATACTAAAACGATACTACAGCATAAAAAAACTGAACATTGTCACTCAATAGAACTATTTTTATTTATTATTAAACACTTGGTGTTTGCTGTCAGCTGAGACAAAGTAGAACAATTTAAAATCAAGTAAAATAAATCTAAATAAAAAATAATAATAATTAAAATGCATATTTAGTCTGCAGTCCAGTCAATAGATTTTAACATTAATACAATTGTTGCAGCATTGTTTAAATGAACAATTCAATTTTTGGGTTAGGTTATCAAAGGAAAACCTGGAGATGTTGATTGGTCCTCACTGTTCATGAGACAGCCATTCTGTCTTATTCACATTTAAATTATTACTGGACTATAATAAATTGCATTTGAACCCTGACCTCTGTTGTCCCAGACTCATGTTACAACATGCGTCTATTTATCTTGAATTTATTGTAAATGTTTAATTGAATGAGAAGAAAGTCATTTTCTGCTAAAAATGTGCATTAATTAGTTAAACATTCTCTCTGTTTACAGCAGGTGATGCATGCCAGAAAGTGAATAAATGCATAAATACAGTTTGACCATTTCATACGTGCTCTCTTAATTAATAAGTTTAGCTGATTTTCATGATTTGGTGCAATTATCAAAAAATTGTCCTGCCAAAGTTTGCATGAACCACACAATAGACCACCCATTTTAAGGCTGATTTATACTTTTGCCTGGCTCCACAGCACTATCAGAAGAACTTGGGTAAGGTTTGTGGGGGTGACAACAGCTCTGTTCATACACACAGAAACTATTACTATTTTAGATTCATTCTCCAAACTGCAAGCAAGCATGGTTGTCTGCATTTTGCACATGGGCTGTCACGGTGCACACAGGCTTTGCAACAACTGTGGGCTTGCCCAGACTTGTCAGCAACATATGCAATATAATTCCATATTTTATTTGGCCGATCAGCTTTGTCCACAAGTGGTCACTAAGAGGATGTGTATATGCATGCCTCATTTTGTCTTTATGAAACTATGAGAGTCACTTTGAGAGTGGTCTGAGAGGAAAAGCACAGCTCAACATACACCTAATGGGCCGTGGAGGCAGCGTGCAGCCCCACACACTAGTCGCCTAGTCGTATCGTTTTAAGAGCCATGTTATTGCGATACCATTTAAGTAACTGTATATCTTGCAGCCCTATAAAGTTCTGTTAAATGAAATTCTCTATTAGGATAAATCTGGAAAGGTGAATGCATTCACTGCTTTTGTTTTTATTGTTTCACAGAGCATAATACTTGTTAATGATAATGATTAAGCTCACTGAGACATGCTTGAATTGCATGAGATGGGATCACTCTTAAAATGAAAAAATAAGTCACTATTTAATTTACAAACTGTCTGTGGGGCACAATCAGCAAATCTAAAACAATTGTCAGTAAATTAATAGCACTTTATTTTGATGGTCCATTTGAGCAGACTGTTTGCTTAATATCTGTTGATACTGCTCCATTAACAGACATTTAACTACAAGTACATGTCAATTTACACTAACCCTAATCCCAACCCTAACCCCAACCCAACAGTCTACTTGTAATCTATTGAGATTTAGTTGGCATTTAGATGCAATGTAACTTAAATTCAACAAACAGACCATCAAAATAAAGTGTGACCCATTTATAATTAATTAATAATTAACACTGATGCAGGAGCATTTTGAACCATTTGTTTTATTTAAAGTAAATGTGATTAAAATGTTATTTCATATGACTTTATTTCCCAAAGATAAATCTTAGCTTTATTTAAAAACTATACCGTGTTGGCTAGGTTTGAGCTCAGTTGTTTAAAACATATTTAGCCTGTTAAAATACATTTCTGATATAACATAAAAAATCCATCAACATTTAGATGTTTGTTGAAATGTCACATTTAAACAAGTCATTTCTGTTTTGAATATCTCCTTGTACATTTCATCTGTCCTATATTTTTCACATTGCGGCCATTGTACAGTTCTTTAATAGACTGCATGACCTCATCTGTCTTCAGAGTGTATATGATAGGATTCAGCATAGGTGGTATCACCTGTGTCAGGCAATTGTTAATTAACCGTATGTTGGCAGGCATAGGTGCTGTTAAGACTGCTATTTGATTACTTATTAATGGGGTATAACCGACTACCACCAACATGAGATGTGAGGTGCATGTTTTTATGGCTTTTACTCGATCAGCACCATGAGCAATCTTAAACAAAGCTAACGAAATGCAGAAATATGAGACAAAGATTAATATGAGTGGTGCACAAAGCAGCAGACCAAAATTTATTTTAATCATTAAAATATTTAGAGAATTATCATTACAAGCTAGTCTATTGATTAGACTATAATCACAAAAATAACTATCAATCACAGTAGATCTGCAAAAGGAGAGTCTATTTAGCAAACCTACAAATACTGAAATATGTGTCACAGAAAAAATCCACATTCCTCCTAGGATGAGGAACATTGCTGCTTTAGTTATAATGGCATGATAATGTAGAGGAAAACAAATAGCAACCAGTCTGTCATAAGCCATGACAAGTAGTGTTAAAGACTGGATATTTAGGAAATGATATATAAAAAACGTGTTTGCCAAACATGCTTCATATGAAATATCCTGGTGGTCAAATAAAAACGTATCAATGGTTTTGGGAATCACAGCCGAGCTTCCACACAGATCAGAAAAGGCAAGATGGAAAACAACAATATATTTGGCTGTGTGAAGTCTCCGGGCTAAATAAATAGTACACATGAGAAATGAATTTCCCAAAACAGTAACAACATACACCAAAGACAAGAACACATAATAGTATTTTACATGTGGAACATTAGAAAGGCCACTAAGAAAAAATTTTGCAGGACGAACAAAGGTCTCGTTTGCAGAAGAGTTTGACTGTATGGAGCTCATGACACCTGCTGCTCTGGGTTTTTTTGTCACCTGTAATGAAGAACTGAAAAAGTAAACTCAATCACAGACAACATTCAAAACACTATTAAACCTATTCTTTTAAAATCTCCCCTTAACATCCATTTTTAGTCATTTTAGTAATTTATATGGTTGTTTATATTAGGTCTACTGTCATGGCTGTTATAATGTGAATTGTTTATAATGGAGATTGTTTTTTTATGTAAGGTGTCCTTGAGTGTCATGTAAGACGCACATATAAATTAAAATCATAATTCTCATTCACAACTGAGTTAATGATTTGTTTTTGTATATAATGTAATTACCTAATAATAAAATATTAATAAAAGAAATTGAAAGAAATAGAAGGAAAGCATTTTGGATACTCTACCTTCTGCAAAGCTTTCACAGTGCCATTATTCTACTTATTAGACAAATTTATATTCGATCTTTCTCTTGAGCTTGGGACTTTTGTTGGGGCAACGGTATTCCCTGTAGACTTGAGCAAGAAGGGGCAGGAATAAATCAACAATGCAATTGTCCAGAAAACTTTCCTACATGTATACATACATACAGTTGAAGTCAGAATCATTAGCCCCCCCCTGTTTATTTTTCCCCCAATTTCTGTTTAACGGCAAGAATATTTTTTCAACACATTACTTGACATAATAGCTTTAATAACTCATCTCTAATAACTGATTTATTTTATCTTTGCAATGGTGACAGTAAATAATATTTGACTAGATATTTTTCAAGACACTTCTATACAGCTTAAAGTGACATTTAAAGGCTTAACTAGGTTAATTAGGTGAACTAGGCTGTTTAGGGTAATTAGGCAAGTTATTGTATGATGGTTTGTTCTGTAGACAGTCGGGAAAAAATATAAGACTTTCTCCAGAGGTAAAAATATTATCAAACATACTGTGATAATTTCCTTGCTTCGTTAAACATAATTTGGCAAATATGAAAAAAAAAAAGGATTTAAAGGGGGCTAATAATTCTGACTTCAACTGTACATACATACATAAAATATAATATATTATATAATATAATAAATATATATTTTTATATAATTTGGTACAGATTTTTTGCTGTCCAGTCTCTGTACTATCTATCTTGATGAAATAGATGATTGATATTAACTTTGTTAAAATAGTTGCAAATGTCTATTAATTCCTTTATGCATGCACTCATTATGGATATGGTGATTTATAGATTTTATTCGATTTTATTATAGATTTTTATTAGAGTCTGAGAAATAATAATGACGCCAAGATGTACTTTGACTGGACATGCACTAATGACTTCATTAGATTTTTAAATTTTTAATTACATTTAACATTATAATAATAACAATAATTAGTAGTAGTAATAGTACTAATATAAGACTAATACTTCTCTTTCCAAGGCTTGAATAAAGTTTTATTTAGCTGTAGTAATACAGATCACACCTCATTTTGTGTAAGTGGCAACCTTTTCCTTTCTGTTTTAAAGAAAGTAGTGAAGCATTTACAAATTCTTAACCTTATCATTTTACAGTTAGAATAATAGTGAAGCCACTGGATTCTTAGAACTCACCAACACTAGTGTCTCTATCTTTTACTGTGTTTTGTAATATGATTTTCTTGATCCATCTTTTTGTAAAATTTCTATCAACATTTGGGATCAGGATTGACATATTGTGGACAAATTAGGTAGTGCAAAAACAATTTGTAGGGCATATATATTGTTTATGTGTTTATAAAAATTCAGAGGATATAAGTACATAATGTGTGCACAGTTCTGTTGAATACATTTTGTCACATTTACTTAAGGCAGGTCACATGCATGAGGATATTAGCATTCATTAGAGTTTCGTGAAAATGTGCGCAATGTCTGGGACAGGTCATTTTTATCATTGGAAGAGCTCACAGACCTCAATACACACATCCACATTCAACATAATTTTTCTGAACAAACTGACAGTGCATGTACAACAGTGGTTTAACTAGGCTTAAACCAGTATTAACCAGAAGATTTTTATTAGAATTCGAGTATGCTTTGAAAGCTGTATGGACTTTAAAAAAAAATGTTATTATGTAATGTTCAGCAATCACCTCACAGCAAGAAAGTCGCTGGTTCAAGCCCTGGCTGGGTCAGTTGGCATTTCTGTGTGGAGTTTGCTGTGTTTGCATGGGTTTACTCCGGGTGCTCCGGTTTCCCCCACAAGTCCACAGGCATGTGGTATAGGTGAATTGGGTAAGCTAAATTGGCTGTATTGTATGTGTGTGAATGAGTGTGTATGGATGTTTCCCAGTGATCGGTTGCAGGTGGAAGGGCATCTGCTGCGTAAAACATATGCTGGATGAGTATCGGACTAAGCCGAAAAGAAAATGAATGACAACTTTTCAGCTGCATGTTATGAACACTGCCGGTGAGAAAGCACAGTTACCATGCATGTCCTGTTCTCATTCTGTTTATGCATGCACACTAAAACTGAGATGAGAAATTACACATAAAGAAAATGTTTGCTTGAATTCATAACCAAAAAAAACATAAATAACAAAAAATTGTCAACCAATGGTGAATGTCCAAATGTTCATTTATATCCATAAAGATACATTTATATGTCAGTGCAGGGACCTAGAAAGTAATTTCTCTGTTGACTTCTGAAATATTTCAAATGTGTTTTACAATAGGAAGTAGTTTTCATTCCTGTAAAATGACGTTACTTCTGGATTTTTTTCATGGAAACTGCACAGATTACTAATAGTAAATGTTCCAATGTGCATTTACTGTAAATACACGGACAAAAATTACATTATGTTGTATGGTAAAGGGACCTAGAAAGTAATTTCTCTTTTGACTTCTGAAATATTTCAAATAAGTTTTACAAAAGGAAGTAGTCTTCATTCCTGTTAAATGATGTTAACTTTGGACTTGATGAAAGATGAAAGTAATCAGTTGATTTCATTATTAATTTATTGTTGCAGTCCCAAAATTGTGCCTTGACCGTTTGTTACATCAATATATGGATTTATACATTGATGGGTTGGTAGATTAAAAACAATATAGGACGTAAAACTGTATTTGTGCACGGCTATTAAGTTGCTTATAGTTGTCATTATTTGATTACTTTTGGTGAACAAGATCTCTTAAACTAATTTAGTTCCTTAAAACAGATGCCTGCATCACTCTGAAGAAAAAAGTTGACCTCTGGAAAAATAAATGTAATTCACAAACTTTGGGTCACATTCAGCAGAACTGAAACTCATTCCAGTGAATGTTTTATAATATAGAGAATATATTCAAGTGTGAAGATGTCTATTCATAATGAAAACAAACACTGATGCAGAAGCATTTCAAACCTTTTGTTATATTTAAAGCAAAGGGGAGTAAAATGTTATTTCATTTGACTCACTGTTTAACTTAGAATAAACTAATAAATGTATAGCTTTGTTTTTTAGGTTTCATCTTAAATAGTTAGAATATGTTGGGCCTGTTTACAATACATTTGTAACAACATCTAACATATAAAATCCATCAACTCACAGACCACAGTTTAAACCTGTAATTTTAGTTTCGAATTTCTCCTACATTTCATTTGTACTGTACTGCTCACTTTGCTAGATTTGTACAGATCTTTTATGGATTGCATTACCTCCTCTGTCTTTAGAGTGTAAATGATGGGATTCAGCATAGGTGAAATTGTCTGTGTGAGGGAATGGTTAATTAACCGGGTGTTTGGTTGAATATGTGATGTTAAGAATGCAATGTGACTACTTAAATAGGGGATATAACTAATTGCCACCAACATGAGGTGTGAGGTGCAGGTTTTTATGGCTTTGGCTTGATCGGCACCATGAGCAATCTTAAACAGAGCTAAAGAAATGCAGAAATATGAGACAAAGATCAGCATGAGTGGCATGCCAATCATGACACCAAAGCAAATTTTTATCATCAAAATATTTATAGAATTATCATTACACGCTAGTTTATTCAGAAGACTGTAATCACAAAAATAACTATCAATCACATTAGATTTACAAAAAGAGAGTCTATTTAGCAAACCTATAAATACAGAAAAATATGTCACAGAATAAATCCACATTCCTCCTAGGATCAGGAACATTGTTGGTTTGGTTATAATAGCATGATAACGTAGAGGAAAACAAATAGCAACCAGTCTGTCATAAGCCATGACAAGTAGTGTTAAAGACTGGATATTTAGGAAATGATATATAAAAAACGTGTTTGCCAAACATGCTTCATATGAAATCTCCTGATGTTCGAATAAAAATGTGTCAATTATTTTTGGAATCACAGTCGAGCTTCCACACAGATCAGAAAAGGCCAGATGGAAAACAACAACATATTTGGCTGTGTGAAGTCTGCGAGACAAATAAATCACACACATGATAAATGAATTCCCCAAAACAGTAGCAACATACACTAAAGACAAGAACACATAATAGTATTTTGCATGTGGAACATTAGAAAGGCCACTGAGGAAAAATGTTGCAGGACGAACAAAGGTCTCGTTTGCAGAAGAGTTTGACTGTATGGAGCTCATGACATCTGCTGCTCTGGGTTTGTGTTACCTGTAATCAAGAACTGTAAAAGTAAAAAAACTCAATTTTCAAAAAGCAGACAATGTAAAAAACACTGTTTTCTTTGCAGTCATGATGGTGTTTGTGAATTGTCTTTTTTATATACAGTATATATCCACATTGGCTTAATAAAGAATAGAATAGAAGGAAAGCGTGATATGTACTCTACCTTTTGCAAAGCTTCCACAGTGTCATTATTCTACCTGCTATCAGACAAATTTATATTAGATCTTTTTCTTGAGCTTGGAATTTTTTGTTGATGGAGCAACGATTCTCCCTGTAGACTTAAGCAAAAAAGGGCTGGAATAAATCAACAATGGCACTGTCCAGAAACCCTTTATGTTACTTTTTTTTTTTTTTACATTATGCCACTGCATCTCTGTTATTATCATGTGTGAATGCTTTGACTTGATGACTTGATAATGAACTTTAACTGGACTTGCAATATTGAGGCTAATTTTCAGCGTTTAATTACACTGAACATTAGTTGTAGTATTAAAATAAGATGTACTATTATTTTTTTGTTCCACATGGGTAATTGTTACTAAATTGGAATAAACTGAAATGTTGTTGACATGAACCATCATCCATACATATTCCTTTTGCAATTTTAAGATTTTGATCTGTTTGATTTGAAGTTTTAGTCAAAAAAATATTCAAATAAATTGAGGACTTTTCATATTATTAGTAATAACAAATAATAAATAACAAATCATTATTAATAAAATGCAGTTAATTTGTATAATTCTGGAAATCTAAAATTACATTTAGCTTTGTTTATGTTGCAATCATTGCTGACTTCACCAAACTTTTTTTTACATTAGTAGATTACTTACAAAGTCAGTGCAAAGATGCAAATTTGTGCATGTACAGTGTATATTATTGTACACTTGCTTGCATTACATGATCTAGGATCGTGCTTAGAAAAAAGTATCATTCACATATTCTGATCAATTGTTTGAGTTCATGATTCATCAGGACTCTAGATTGTGACAAATTTGGCCACATGTGCAACCAAATTTTTCAGTGGTGCGATTAAAAATATATAAGGTCACAGTGGTGCGACCAGCCATTCGATGGCATACAATAACTACATTTTTAAAAAGTGCGTCTGTGGTTTAATACACTAAAAAAAAACTCCTGGTTGCCTTAAATTTTTAAGCTGAATCAAATAATCTTATGAGTCCTTTGAACTTATATTATGTTAAACTGACTTAAAACAGCTTTCATAAATTATACAATTCAGTTAAAACTTATAAAATTAAGTTAGAACATGATTAGATTAGTTTAATAAAATACAGTGAACTAAAAACATTTGTTGTTATATGACTAATTCATCATAAAATTTTTACAGTTTCGACTCAAACATTAAAATTTTTTTTCCTAACCAACCACAGTTAAAAAAAACTGTTAACCAATCAGCACAATATTAAAGTATCATTTAATAAAAAAAATGCCAAGTCTGTTTTTTGTCTGACACATTAAATATTGCATTTTTAAATACTGATCTATTCTAAGGTTAAAGGTCTAAATTCTGTGCGAACAACAGAATTTTAACCCACCTGCAGCATTCAAACGACATGCTTGTCATTTTTAAAATGGGTAGCATTAAGTTGGGTATCGTTGGCTAAAAAAAGTTAAGTAACCACTGGGTTAAACGGTCAATATGTCACAAACATCTCTGGTTTCAACCAATCATAGATGGTGAAGGGCACCCTTTTTGTAGAATTGTGCTTTAAATAAAGAACCTAATATTGACCAGATTGTTACTTAATTATTTACAACTCGAGAATTCTTATATGGATATATTTTTGTTTAAAGAGAACTTGTAAAACTGCACTGTTAAATGCGATGGGGTCAAAAATTTGGGTGCACCTAACTTTTGTTCTGGTTCACCTTAAAAAAAATGTTGGTAGCACCAGTGCAAAAAGTTAGTCTAGAGTCCTATTAATTGAAGCATTCATAAAGATATTTCCTTCATTCCTGAATAAATCATCATCTTTAAAAAGAAAAGCTTGAATTAATGACTCGGTGCCACTCTTTAGTGACTGTATTTTATTGTCAACATGTGAAAATTGTCAACATGTGATTAAAAATAATTAAATGCCCCTGGAAATAAATTATTGGTGCCAAAACAAAATGTTTTTGTTTATTAATAGAAAAAATTATTGTTACAAAAAACAATACAGTTTTTGCTGTCTGGAATATTAAATTGTCTTGTTTACTGTGTTTATACGTAGATGCAGAAGACTGTTAAATTGCATTTTCCTGTCTATGTACTGCCATTGACTGTAGTAAACAAGAATTAATATAACAGTTATTTTACATGCCTCTGGGCTTCAGGTTGTGGAGTTGCAAGTAAAAATGATAATTCCCTGTAAATCTGTATACAATTAAAATTAAGTCACAATTAGCAGAGCTACAAATGTCTAATAATTGGTTAAAGACATGTATATTTAGGAGTGTAATAATGTCTGTTTATAAGGAAAGCAAACATGATGCATTACAACTTTTGTTGTTTTAAATCTAATGTGAATATGCTATCATTTGACAATATAAATCTTTCTTCTGTGTTTTTTTTAAGGCGTCCATACTATGCTTCTGCTTAAAAGCATGTTAATGATCATTTCTGTTACATCGTCAAACAAAATTTGAAATGAATCAACTCCGCTAAATTAGATGTTTGTTAGTAGATCACATCTGGAAAAACAGCTAAATATCTGTAGTCAGCTTATGTGAAGTCTTTTATACTATTATATGGTCTGGGTTCTGAATAAAAAAGATTAATCTGAAAATCAGCAAAACTAAAATGTCAGTGAAAGATTCATTTAAGAACACATTTATTATTCAGGCTAGAAAAACAACAATATTGACATCAAAATTGTGGTTGTCAAAATGCACTTTTTCCATTTACTATTTACACACTGATCAGAACCTGCAATTATTTTAATTTACCATACTGGCAAATTTCATTTGTCTTTGTTTAGTTATGTTCACCTTGCTCCGTCGGTACAAATCTTTTATGGATTGCATGACCTCCTCTGTCTTCAGAGTGTATATGATGGGATTCAGCATAGGTGGTATTGCTTGTGTCAGGGAATTGTTAATGATCTGTACATTTGGATGCAAAGGGGTTGTTGCAGATGCAATTATATTAGTTAAAACTGGTAGATAATACATTGCCACCAACATGAAATGTGAGGTGCAGGTTTTTAGGGCTTTGATTCTTTCAGCACCATGAGCAATCCTGAGCAGAGCCACGGAAATACAGAAATATGAGATGAAGATCAGTATGAGTGGAGTGCAAATCAGGAGGCCATAGGAAGTTTTACCTATCAAAATATTTATAGTAATATCATTACAAGCTAGTCCACAGATTGGGGCATAGTCACAAAAATAACTATTCAATACATTAGATCTACAAAAAGATATTGTATTCACCAAACCTACAAGTATAGAAAAAAATGTCACAGACACAATCCACATCACTCCTATGATCAGAAACATTGCTGATTTGGTTACAATGGCATGATACTGTAGAGGAAAACAAATAGCAACCAGTCTGTCATAAGCCAAAGCAAGTAGTGTCAAAGACTGTAGGTTCATGAAATGATACACAAAAAACATGTTTGTTAAGCATGCTTCATATGAAATGTCCTGGTGGTCAAATAAAAACATTTCTATGATTTTTGGAATCAAAGCTGAACTTCCACACAAATCAGAAAGTGCCAGATGGAAAACAACAATGTATTTGGCTGTGTGAAGTCTGCGAGCTAAATAAATGATACACATGATAAATGAATTCCCCAAAACAGTCACAGCATACACTAAAGACAAGAACATGTAATAGTATTTTGCCTGTGGCATATTGGAAAAACCACTAAGGGAAAATGTTGCAGGACGAACAAAGGTCAGGTTTGCAGGATGGGAGCTCATGACACCTGTTTTCCTTGTGTGTGTCTGTGATAAAGAACTGTTAAACTATAGACATTAATAAACACAATAATAATACAATATTTGGTAAAAGCGTTAAAGAAAAACCCATAGTTCATACTCTACCTTTTCTCAGCAATAGTTCCTACTCTACCTTTTCCCAGCAATCAGACATTTATATTAGAGCATTCTCTAAGGCTTGGGACTTAAGCTCTTTTTCCCTGTAGAGTTGAAGAAGTGAGGTCTGGACTAAATATCTGAAATTGTAAATGTAGCATAATATGTAGAACCCCGATGTATTTTTTCATATGCTTGAAATTGTCTTATATCCTAATTTTAATAGGTTGATTTATTTTCACAGTTATGCCACAGATTAACTTTTTTTTTTTAATTATTCCTCGTAGAGAACCTTTAGATAATAAAATTGTAAAGGCCAATATATGATCTTGCTCCAGTGGAGTTCAATACTGTTGAAAATTCGAGGCACCCATGTCAAGCTAAATGCATCTTTACAATGGCATTTATATGATACTATTTTTATGTCAGTTTTACATTAACATGCCATTTATTTGCAAATATATCTATAAACTACAGTGGCAAGAGGAATTTAGAGCCATTCTTCTTTCTAGCAGAATAGTGGCAAGATCACTACTTGGCTATGTTTTCTGACTCGCTCTTCCAAAACACCCCAAAGTTGCTCAATAATATTTACATCTGGTGACAGTGCATGCCATGGGAGATGTTTAACTTCACTGTCATGTTCATCAAACCACTCTGTCTGTCAGGAGTGTCTGTATAAAGGACCCAAAAGCAGAGGAGTAAAAATTAGTAGCACCACATGAAAAAGAAAAATCAGGAGTGGGCTAAATTTCAATCAAAAAATAAAGTTAGTTTTTGGTCCAGGCCTGGTAATGCAGGAGAAGGGCAATGGCAACGCAAAAGATCAGCTCTCCAGTAGGGCAGACCAAATCCGGGATGGATCCAGGGAACTGGACAGAGAACACAATGATAATACAACAGACCGACAAGAAGGCTGTAAGAAATCCAACACTCTGACAAAAGGAGAAGCGAAACACCCTCAGATATAGGAGCAGCAATTAGCAGAAATGAAAGGCAGCTGGCAGTAACATGTGAGGCTACTAATTGTAAAAGACGATCAGCTGAGTAAAGTTACACAGCAATTTGGAGACAAATTAGAATGTTGTCAGTAAGGAAAGATAGAAAACGCTGTCAGAAAAGAAAGAGGGCAAAGTTCAAACCCGGGTTCTGACACTGTCACCTCTGTCTTGCTGTGTGTATTAGTGCATTATCATCCTGATACATGGGACTGCCTTCAGGACACCTTTTTCGAACCATAGCTCAAGTATTGAGCTTCAGGAATGCCATGATATTGCAGCCCAAACCACCACTGATCAACCCTCATGCTTTTCTGGGCATGCAACAGTCTGGGTGGTATGCTTCTTTAGGGCTTCTCTACACCGTAACTCTCCTGGATGTGG